AACTAAATATAAAAATGAGCTCTTAATAATTCTAAATAACAAAAGCAGGTGTATAAAAATGGTTCCTTAATATTAGACATAAAAGTTAATACAGGATTGTCTTAATTCCAAGTAACAAAAAATGATCTTATAATAGTAAATCTCATTTACAAAAGTAAATATAAAATTAATTTTATATTGATAAACTGCATGTATGGTATGAAGCTGGTTGTAGATGAAATTAACTAATGTTGGGGTAATTGGACAAGTGTTTATAAATTTCATAAAATTTCAAAGGGACATAACTGAGCTTGTTAGCCCATGAAGCATGTCCCTTCCAGCTCCTAACTCTAACCACTCCTTACTACTCATGTATTCATCCAATCTTTTCTTTAACTCAGTTAAATTTTCTGCCTCCACCACTCTTGAAAGCAGCTCATTCCAAAAGCCAATCACCCTGCTTGAAAAGTAATACTGTCTAAACTGCAGATGACTCCTACACTGCCAACATTTCAATTTATGTCCCCTTGTCCTATTGTTTTCACTGCTAAACACAAAAAAGTTTGATCAGTGTTATCAATACCCTCAATAACCTTAAATCCCCTCTGACCCTTCTCCTCTCCAGAGACATCAAATTCAGAGATTTTAGCCTCTACTCACAGGACAATTCCACCATCCCAGGTATTATCCTAGTGGCTCTTATCTGAACCTTCTCCAACAATTCAATGTCCTTCTTGAAGAAGGGAGCCCAAACTGTACACAGTACTCTAAATGAGGCCTTACAATGATCTATAAAGTGAAACAATAATATCCCTTGTCTTGTATTCAATATTTCTGTAGATGCTATCCAAAATCCTATTAGCCTTATTGCTAGCTACAATAAACTGTTTAGATGACTTAAGTGATTTTTCAATTACAACACTGAGATCTTTTTGTTCAACCACAGTATTTAATGTATTCCTATTTGAGTTGTAACAATAATTTCAATTGTGAAAACCTACATGCATCACCTTACATTTTAGATAGTTAAAACATCATCTGCC